TGGACATGATATAACGGACAAATAATGAAGCAAGTATAATGGCATTTTCTTTAATGTCTGTCTTCAAATTTCAAAATGCTTCTTAAGGAACTGAAACCTGATGAGTCTGTAGAAGGTACCTTGCTTGACCATCTCTAAAGGAAAACCACCGTCAATGACAAAATAACTTGTCACAGTTAAATGCTACTCATTTTTGTCAGTACCAAAGGTCGTCAGACTTAATTTCCAGTGTTTTGGAGAAAACAGTGATATTTTTGGGTTCCCTAGTGTGTGTTTCACTTTAGCTATCCCTTGTACCATTGGTTGTATCATTAGAATTATCACTCTGCTCTTAATCCAGAAGGGATTTGGCTGTTTTAAGGTTACAGGTTTTGTGTGGTGTTTTTTTTTTTTTTAAGTAGTAACAAAATGCTTATTAGATTCTCTGATCAGCTTGCTTCTGTTCTTCCAGCAATTTGAGCTATTTCTGTTATTACAGGTGTGAAGCCACACACTGAAGTGATTGCATTTAAACCTTTTACATAACATTAGTACTTGTGTATTGCTTTACAGCTCATTGTGATAGGATTTAATAAACTGCATGGTGATTATGATTTATGACAACTTTTAGTGGTCTTTCTGTTACACATTACCAGAACTGTTTAATGCTTATAAGGCTTTGCACGTTTTCTGCTTTCTTAGTGTTAATAAATCTAAAGCTGTCCAAGATGCAACTAGGAGATTAAGTCTGTATTCACCCCTGGCACCTTTAAGTTGAAGTTGGATATTTGTTCTGTGAACAAACTCTCAACAGAGTATTCTAATGCTTTCCTAGAATTACAACAATGCCTTAGTCAGTGTTTTCAGATGCATTTAACTTTTGGGGTGGAAAGAAATGGACTTAATTTCAAAAATGCATAAGCCAAAATTTGGGGAAGCTTAAATGTACTCTTCTGATTCTGTAGACTTTATCTGTTTAAGTTTGAAGTCCCTTGTTTTTCTGTAATTGGTTAAATTGTAGATGGCTTATACATCCACACTTTTGTTTTTTTGAAGACTGCTGTGGATAGGTGAAGGAGCTCCAAGTGAATTGTAGTAATTTAATTGTTTCTGTTAGGTATTCCACCCTCTTTTTCATACCCACAATTTAATCCAGTGTGATAGCTATCCACTGATGAAGTGCTGAGCAGATGCAAGGGTAAGGGAGAGAGAAAAGGGAAGGAAATTCAAAATGGTGTTTCTCAAAACAGTACTCATTGCCTAGTGGTGGCTGCTTCCTGCTGTGGAGGGACACGCATGTAGTGAGCAGTTCAGAGTTTGCAGTGTGCTTCTGTTCTAAGTGGGAGGTGAATCCCCATGTGAGCTAGAGGTTGTAGCTTTCTTATGGGGGTACAGCACATCACTCACATCTCAGTTGTATTACAGTAGCTAAAAACACCAGAATTCAATGTTTGAGTGCTGTTTCTCTTCATTTCTTGTTGGAGCTCTCAAGTGTGATTCAACCTTGTCAGTAGTTCTGTAGTAAAAGAATCTACATGACAACTAGTTCTGAAGCACATAGTAGTAATTTGTGGTGTGTAACTCATGAACTAGGAACTGAAGATCCTATTTTCAAGCTGCTTTTGTGATGATCTGTCGGCTGAAATGATTCTTAAAGTACTGTAGTTGCTTGTGTATGTTTTTTTTTTCAGCTGCAGACAATGATGTAGGAGCCATATCAATCATACAGAGAGCAGACTTCAGGAACTTGGGTTTTCTGTAGGAGCTCCCCTCCTCCCATAAATGTCTTCTACTTGTTTTGCCAGGGAATGAAATGTTTTTAATTCCTTTCTAGACAAAGCTTATATTTGTTTGGTGGTTTTTTTTTTTTTAATTATGAGATGCGGAATTTTAGATGAGGAGGATTTGCAGAATGTGTTCTTTTCTCCCTCTTCCTAGGACAGGAACAACTCTTTTAAAGATTAGTTATGCTGAAAAGTGGCACTGCACTTCTGTTTCTGCGATTTCATACTTGGCTGCTGCCTTGTGTCAGTGTGCTCTTTTCCCCGTACACAGTACATGATGTGCTAATCTCTCCTCCATTGCTGTCCTGGAGAGGGTCATAGCAGTCTCATCTACTGCTTGACCAGATCTGAACGTGAATTCACCAAATGAAAAAGCAGATGAAGATGCCTCAGTGCACCAACTACATTAATAAAAGCTTCATTTGTCAAGTGCCTTGAGAGACCATAAACCTAGCCTCCTAGCTTCACTATGTCCATTATCACCTCTCGTAGAGGTTTCTGTGACAGGTTTTTAAAGATTTACAGCATGAGAGACTTGAGAGCCTTGTCAGGCAATCTACAACATGTTTGTGTTTGCTTTTGAAATATGTTCCTGATCTGTAATTGGAGTCTGTTATCTTCAACTAAAGCTTGCTCTGCATGTGTGGAAAAATGCCCTTCATGGAGAGTTTGATCCATTGGAGGAAAACTTCTTACCTGTTCCGTGCAGTTTCTTCAGCATAAACAGCATCCCTGCATTTCATGTTTAGGATCTTGCTTCCAGGGTTTTCTCACGTTTTCCTAACTTCAGATTCTTTTCCAGTCAGTCCTTCTCTGAGGTGCAGTACCCAAAAAAAGGATGTAGGATTCCAAAATCAGTCTTGCTGTGGCAGACTATTTTGTGGGCTGCACGTGCGTGTACCTACAGCCCTGCTTGGTGCTTGGTGTGTTATATATGGTGTCACTGGCTCATGTTTGGACTGTAGGCTGCAGTCATTTAAGAACTTCCTTGGAATTATGGCCTACTCAGCTGAGTAGGATTTGTTTTGTTTGTTTGTTGGGTGTTTGTTTTTTTTTTTGTATCTAACTAGTCTTGCTACTTAAGGTCTGTCTTAGCTGTGACATTCTATGATTCAATGATGAGGTATCTGTTCCTGCAGCAGACCTGCCACTGGGCTTGTGTTGCTTTTTCTCCTTCCCCAAGCACTGGCTGAGCAAGCTGGTAGCTTGAACTTGGATTGTCGTTGCCTGCTGAGAAGTGTTTCTAGCAGTCTCAGCAGTGGAATTACTGGTGGTCATACTGTTTTCCCAGGCCCTGTGGTAGGACAGATCTTGTGCAAAGCTTTACTTTTTCTAAGTTTGAAGTATAATTACTGAACTTGGCTAATCTTTTGAAGGTGTCAATGAGCAAATGCTTTTTTTTCCTTTTGTAGTAACGAGCTTCAGATCTGTGCTCCAAAGAGCACTGTTTTGGGACTGCTGAATTAGTATTCCTTCACAGAAGCTGGTAGTTTTATTGTATGTTTTGAAAGCAGATGAACCATTTTATCTGGAACTTCACAGGAAAATTCTGCTTGAGGCAGTTTCGTGCTGCTAAACCTCAGTGGTTCAAGCTGAGGTTGTCCAAGCTGGTGATAACTTTATAGTGGAAATTGCCGGTGGCTTTAGCTGATCATGTTTGTCTTTGGCTCTCTAAGGGAGCTCCTGTATCTAATTATAAGGAAGGACCAGGCTGTAGATCAGTTAACAGACTAGAGCTCAGTTAACAGCATAGCTGAAACTCAAAGGCTATCTAAAAATCAGTGAGTTATGTACATGTGTTTTCACTTGGTTTTTGTGCCTCTCCAGTTATCTGCGAAGAAGGGCATCTTTTTAGTACCAGTACAGCTTTAAGTAGTATGTTTCAAGTGTTATTGAACAAGCATAAGAAGCTCATGCTGAGCAAATAATATGCTAAGTATAATTCTATATACAAGAAAGCAGGGGAGTACTGATTGTGTAAGGGTGGCTCACTCAAATTAAACTTCTGTTGCAGTTCCTACTCTTTCCTAAGAAATATAATTGAAATTGCATGAGGAAATCGTGTAACTTCTGTTAATTCCTCAGGGAAGCTGAATGATGGGGAAAAAACATAGACTAGTTAAGCACTTGTAAGCCTGTTAATCTCAGTTCTTCTGAATTAAAAAAATTCTAAAGTTATTTGAGACAGGACTTACTACTGTTCTTTCTATGCTTGTGTCTAGGATGTGTCATGTCTTTTTTTCAGAGAGAATTAGAATTGAGGAAATGAGCGGAGGGTCTAGTGCCATCTCAGTTTTTCTGAATTAAAAAAAAACAAATTCTAAAGTTATTTGAGACAGGACTTACTACTGTTCTTTCTATGCTTGTGTCTAGGATGTGTCATGTCTTTTTTTCAGAGAGAATTAGAATTGAGGAAATGAGCGGAGGGTCTAGTGCCTCTCAGGATCATCTTTTTTTCCTGTGACTTACCTGGTGATCGCTTCTCTAATACCTACAGGCTGGATTTTCTGTTTGCTGTCAGTTTTTGCTCACTGCTTTGCCTGACCTCTGATCTTGCGATTTTTTTCCACAGGAGTGGAGATGACCACAAATGATGCGTTTCACAGTGACTTTTTAAATTATGACACGGATATTCATGTCTCCTTAGTGTGCCTCTTTGCTGTTAGCTTTCCCTGGAAAGTTGAGGATTGCCTTACGTGAGGGTTCCTGTTACACTCTCTGGGTGCCTCACTGATGTGTATCTGTCAGTAAACCTTACCCGGGTGTGTCTTAGGACTGACATGAGCGTAGTGCAAAAGCATTGATGTCCTGTGATGCAATAGAATCTTCTTACAGCAGAAGCTGCTAATTCATGTCTCTGGGCTTGTTTTAGATCTTAGCAACGCCAGTTAGCTTGTATATCAAACTCATAATAATGTTGATCTTTTTTCCTCCTCTCCTAAGTTTTGTCCAAACGTGTCATGTGTTAGTTTCCAACAGCTAGGAGGCATAAGAGTAACTATGTAATTGGAAATGTATTTTCATGGAAAAATAACCTTTCTGATTAACTTCTTACTAACTGAAGTTACTTTCTTATTAGTTAAGCATGTGTTGACTGCTTACATCAAGACCTGAAACTGTTTTTTCCTTTTAAACAGAGGAAATCAAACTGCCCCCTAGGTATTCCCAAATACTGTGTTTTAACAGATACCATGTATGATACATTAACCATTCTCCATATGCATTTTAGAGAATCACCTTGGAATATCTGAAGTCCATATGGCTATGTATGATGAAGATATCTTGAAAAATCCTTTTTATTTGGCCATTCAAAAGCGGCGTCCTGATCTATGCAGCAAAGTTGCAGAACTCCATGGTATTGTAAGTAGAAACTAGTAGTTTTAAAAAACTGCTTATTAAATAATAGCTATATGAATTAAAATCATACTTCTGCTATGACACATGAAAAGATTAGTGTAAGCCTACAAAACTTTATATTGAAGCAGAGGAACTTCTAGTTTAAGTTGCTTGTTATTTACTGATACAGACCTTGATTTTGAATAGTAACTCCAGTTCTTAGGAATTCTAATCTGGGTATTCCACAATTAGTTTTCATCCAAAACTGTGTGGAAACTCTGTTAAACTTGAGGTTATTGTTACCTGATTCTAAAATTAAGCTTCAAATTGGACAGGGTTGTTTCAGTTATGTTTTGCTTAAGATGGTGATGTGATCATCTGAAATGCTAAAATCTGTTAACTAGTTCTGTCGGTATTGTAACGCTATTTTTTCAGTACTTTCAAAACTACTTGCTTATCGCTTTTCTTCCTTGACAATGAGATGTGTGTGTGTACATGTGTGATGAATACAACAAATTTGTTCTAATTAAGATTTTGTCTCAAACTGCCAATCTGTTGATGTGCAGTAGAGCCAAGATGTTTTTGTCTTGGATTTGTTTTTGTTTTTCTAGTGGATTTTATTTTAGTGTTAAAATATGCTTCACTTATTAGCTGCCTAATTTTAAGTAATCAGGTGACTGATACTAAGTAACTTAAGATTTCATCTCCTTCTGTTAATGTTTACTTCAGTTACGTTGGTCATCCTTTTTCAGATAAGTCATTAAATGAAACTTCTAGGTTAATCACTAGACTGTGTGCTTATCAATGGCCTTTCCTTTCCTGGCACCTATAACTGCTATGCATCTGCTAGTAAGTGTTTATAAGCCAGATTCGATTGCTTGTCTCTGAAGAACCTAAACTATTCATGTTCAGCTGGTGATATGTGGCCTTTCTCTCAAAAGCACGATCTAACTTTTTTAGGTGTTGGTTCCATGCAAAGGAAGCCTTTCAAGCAACAGTCTTTCTACCTGCCAGTTTGAATCTTATGTTCTGAAGCCACAAGAAGAAAATTTTCAGACCTTAAATGGAAAGGTATTCCTGTTTTGATGTCTGATGTAGCTTAGTAGATAAATGATCTGCTGTGGTTGATGACAGATGACTTCCTCTCCTGCAACCATTAATTCACACTAAGTTTCAGAGCTACCTGGCAAAAGCAGTATGTTGTCCATCTAAGCCAAAGTTCTTGGGCCTATACTGCTTTCTAGCAAAAGCTGTATTTTTGGCATGTACACAGAGTAATTGTCCTGTTCAAATGGTAACGCTGCCTCTGATTTCAGTTTACTACTTTGGCAAAGCAACTTTGTCAATATATCTGTGTTTTGTGACAAGTTAGGAATTCTGTGTGTGGCAGAAGATCCTTATCACTTAGTTAAGAGCTGTCTCTCTAGCTTTCAGGCAAATTGTAGCCTGCCTATATTGTGTGTGTATGCAACTTTACCAAGGCTTAAGACAAGATTATGATGGTACTGAGTTCTTTCTAAGACCTGATGTTAATTCAGTAAGTAGAGCAGAAGCTGACCACTGTAGCAGCGAGCCATAATAACCAGTATTTACAATGCATGTGATCATGTTTTTTTTTTTTTGCTTGTTTGCAGTACAGTCTGAGATCTTGCACCTGTTGGCAGGCTATCATTTAGACCTTCCTACTGCAGATGTCCTCAGTGGAGTTACTTGAGAAGATAAATCTCAGCATGCAAAATGTAGACAAGATGTGTGTTGTTTTTCTGAAGCTGGACTTAGGCCCCAATTCTAAGATGTTTTTCAATTTCCTTTCTAAAAGTCTTCTAACATGTGCAAATAGTCACTTGAACCTTGGAGATTATCTGAAACCTCCTCTTGTAGTAGGTTTTTAAAGGAAGTAGGTAGAAGCCAAGGTTTAGCCATTGTAGACTGAAGGAGTTTGTTTCAGTGTCTACACAGTATGAGAATATCAACTCTGAGGCTTTCTTGTATTGCAAGATTCTCTATTCCCTGGAGATGTAACTATGCAGTGCGGAAGCCAAAGAGTAACTTCTTTCTGGCAGTGTTTTACATTTAATCTATTATTTGTTTTGTTTCAGGAGATCTTCATACAAGGAAACCTCATCATTTTAGGAACTGGTTTTAATTGTCATCTCTCAGTACCTATTCTTTTTGAGGAAACATTTTACAATGAAAAAGAAGAAAGCTTTAGTATATTGTGCATAGCTCATCCATTGGAAAAAACAGAATGCTCAGGTATGTATTCAACTCATTAAACTGAATGTGTTAATTTTTGTCCTAGTACTGAAAGTGCCCTTGGTAAGGCTGGAACACTATTTCCAAGGCTACTGTTAAAGCTATAAGTGTAACAGAATTTCCATGTGAGTGTGTAACAATCTATGTTTACTAATCAAAAGGAACGAAGCTTCTTAAAATGTGTGTTGAGATTTTTCTGAAATAAAGTCTAAAATTCCTAAATATATAAGAATATCTATTTGAAACAAATAATAACAAAATGAAGTAATACTAGCATAGTGTGAAAACAGTACTGTTAGGCAAATATGGAAGTTCTGAAAAAACCTGGCATACACATAGGCTTATTCTAAAAGTATTAATCTAAATCTAAAAAAATTGTTCTTGTGGTGGTCATTTTCTTGGCTATTAATGTAGTTGTATAGCAGTCTTTCAGAAATGGGGTAATTAGTAATGGATGAGATCTAAGCCTGTTATTAGAGGGTTGTCTTTGATGGCAAATGACAGACTTGACTAGAAAAAAAACAAGCCAGAAAAGCAATATGAATTTTAAGTGAGATCCGATTGTCCTGTTCAGAAGGGAAGTGGATTTGGTTTAATGTTTCTGTAGCAACTTGGCTCTCCCATTCAGATGAAGTGCATCTGAGTAAAGAATAGGGTATGTAAAAATCCCATCTTGGGTTTTTACAGCTCGCTTGGACCACACTGACTTCCTGCATGGGGCATGCAGTCAATACTGTAACGTGCTTTTCTACTTTGAAGCTTGTCTTGCCCGTTGATCATGAGTTGTATATGTGGCAGTAAATTACGCCAGGATAAAAAACATGTGAAATAAATTTTAGATATTCCAAATAATACTTGACATAAAAAAGGGAAGAGAGCCTACTCTAGATGTTATGTGTTTAAATTCTTTTAATTAAAAACAATGCCTTCAGTTTTAATGAAGTAGGCTGAATTAAGGTTTCGTTGCATGCAAGCTGGCTGTGTATGTAGGGTCAGAAAATACTTTACCATGCATGCATATAAAATGGATGTGTTAATTTTTGGCTTTCATTTTAGGTGAATCTGCAGCTTCATCAAACTCGTATTCTCTGAAAAATATTGAAGATGTTAGAGAATTCTTGGGAAGGCACTGTGAGAGATTTGATAAATACATAGGCTCTTTCTATAGAACATTTAAAGAACATGAAAGGAAAAGCCTCCGCCACTACATAGTCAGTATCTTGCTTGTTGATGTTTAATTTACTAAGTGTAATTCACTGCTTTGGATATCTTTGTCCTGTTGAGCTTTTCCATAATATTACACAGACCTTGAGGAAGGTGGGAAGGGAGAGAGTAGAATTTTTAATTGTGAATTATCATATCTTAACTAGAAGAATTGCCTTTACCAGTTAAGTCTTACCACAATTCTGAGGGAGGGAAGACTTCCTTTCCAAGCTTATTTATGCTTTGTTGCTTCAAGTCAGACTGACCTGAATCTGATGTTTTTCTCCCTTCTCCCTCCCAGGATTCTGTCAATGCACTTTATACCAAATGTCTCCAGCATCTTTTGAGAGATTCGCACTTGGTAAACACTTACTCCACTCAATACATAGTATGTAGTGTTACGTGAGCAACACGTTATCTGACTTTCTCTTGCTGTTTGTATGGCTTTCCTTTTCTAGAAGATGCTTGCAAAGCAAGAAGAGCAGATGAATCTGATGAAACAAGCAGTTGAAGTAAGCATCTAAAATGAAGGAAAAATAATTAGCAAACTATTTGGAACTCTCCCTTTTGTGCCTAAAGTACTGGTTTCTTTTTTTTCCTACAGATGTATATCCACCATGCTATTTATGATCTAGTCTTTAAATATGTGGGGACTATTGAGGCAAGTGAGGTAAGCTTTTTTGTTTGGTGTTTTTGTTTGATTGCATTAGGTTAGTTACACTAATCTAATGCATTTAAAAAACCCTAAACTGTTGCCTTTCTATTGGTTTAGGATGCTGCTTTTAACAAAATCACAAGGAGCCTTCAAGACCTGCAGCAAAAAGACATTGGAGTGAAGCCTGAGTTCAGGTGGGAGAGGCTATTATGGATTCTGAGGAGTCACTGAGATCCTGGCTTAAGTAGGTCTAAGGCCAGCCAAAAAGTCTCTTCCTTGAGAGGACAGCAAGTTTTTCTTACACTTCATTCTTTAGAGATGGAAAAGAAAGCTTTTAAGTGTCATTTGAGGGCGGTCTTTGCATTGATTATCTCCTTTGTTTTTATATTCTTAAGCTTCCCTCTCAGGATACAGGAATGCAAATCTACTTGGAGTAGAGTTGGAAGTAGTTTAATACTGTTCTTCATTTCTGAATAAGTTAAAACTTGGGATTTGAGTGTTTTGCACAGAAACTCTGTATACTAACCACTTCTTTCAAATTACTTTGTAGTTTTAATATACCACGTGCAAAGCGAGAACTGGGTCAGTTGAACAAATGTACTTCCCCTCAACAGAAGCTACTTTGTTTACGAAAAGTGGTACAAATTATAATGCAATCTCCTAGCCAAAGAGGTTAGTAATTAGTGGATTAATAACTTTAAACTTTTTGCTTAACCATACACACAAAGCACTTTGGTATATAAGCAGCTGTTTGAATGGCACTTGTGGATTCAACACAGAGAGAGAGTCACAGTTAGAGACCTTGCTGGTCTCTAAACAAAGTAAAATGGAGGCAGGGTAGACAATTTAGCCTTGTTTCTCATGAGGTGAGGTGATTAATTTATACATGTTTTAGCTAGAGCATGTGAGAAGCTTTCATGTGCCAGGACACTTCTCATGCAGAAGAACTGAGAGTGATCACTTTTAAACACTGCGGAATGCTGCTAGATCATTCTTGTTTATTTGTCCATGCTCCTTGATAATCTTGAAATTGATGCTCTGGAGATGCATCTTTTGCAAAATGCAGTTTTGGTGAGGGGCAAACAAACCTTCTGTATGTTGTGTTCAAAGTGCTACTGTGGAGTACAGAAATGATTCTGTAATAGGAAAGCATGGACCTCTTAACCTAGTGCTTATTTTCTCTAATGTGGGTAGAGAAAATACTTCCACTAAGCAAACAGTAGTGTGTTGAGCTTGTGCTTTCCTTACTTCAACTCCTCCTTTCTCCAGGAAACATTCTGGCTTATGGAAAAGTATATCAACTTTGAGGGTGATATTTTGCCTTCAAGAATTAAAAAAAAAAAAAAATCTTGATCTAGTGCTATGGCTCTTTCTGTATAGGAAGGAGGGGATGCTAGTCAAATATTGTGATTTCTGTAGTACAAACTGTTTTGCTTTTGGCTAATCTTGATCTAGTGCTATGGCTTTTTCTGTATAGGAAGGAGGGGGATGCTAGTCAAATATTGCAATTTCTGTAGTACAAACTGTTTTGCTTTTGGCTCTTTCTGTATAGGAAGGAGGGGATGCTAGTCAAATATTGTGATTTCTGTAGTACAAACTGTTTTGCTTTTGGCTCCTGGCAGTCTGTTTTAGAGGGAAACTGAGAATGTTTGAAGGGGTGGCTTGGTCACTGAATGCATTCTCTACTAGCAGAGATGGCAGTTAGTCTTAGGAGATGGAAGTCCATTCATAGGTGTTGTTCTTGATTTAAACCATGACATGACTAACATCAGAAGTAAATTCTTTTTTTTTTTTTTTTTTAGTTAATGTGGAAACCATGTGTGCAGATGACCTTCTCTCTGTTTTGCTGTATTTACTTGTGAAAACAGAGATCCCAAACTGGTATGCAACTATATTTTGGCTATACAGATCTCCATTGTATTGTAATGCTGTTGTATGGGCAAATGTTTCTGAGCAGGTAGTAATAACTTACTGAAAGCCTAAGAGGGGCTGGTGTAATGCAAAAAAAAATGTATTTTTAGTAGGACAAGCAGCAAAGATGTAATACAGGTGACCAAATTTAGGACCTGTCAGGAATTCAAGTGCTGTCTTTGCTTATTGATTCCCAGCCTAGAAAAAAAGCTGCAATGGGAGGCCCCTCTGTGCCATATCTACATGTCAATGCAGACTTCACTTCATGTCAGTACTTCCTTCCCTAGCTGTGAAACCGTTATGCGGCTTTTAGACGTTTGATACATTTCATGTAGAGAAACCAGAATTGAATGCTGAATTGCTTGCTGCTAGCCTATGCCAATGGGTTTCTCTCTCCTTACCATCAGTAAAAGTATATCTATGCCTTCCACTTGTACCCGGACTGAAATGTATTGTTGATGTATCCCTTCTTGGAGATTAGTATTTCTCCTTTAGTTTGTAGCTCTCCCATTACATGGATGCTTATGGTTCTGACACATTAACATGTTTGAAATGTGTGAAACAATCTCCTGCTACTGTTCTTGCTCTGTCCTTCTCATTCCTTATATCCGATTAATATCTTAAATGAATAATTAAGAAATAAGTAGAATGATCCAGCTACAAAGCTCAGAACAGCCATAGTGTTGCTAGCCTAACAATCTTCTTAAAAGTGTTTTTTCTTTTGTCTGCCTGGATTGCCTAAGATGAGTTGCAGTATTAAGGTATGTCATACTAGCATCTTATTATTTTCAGTGGTTCATGACTAACTTTTTGTTTCAGGATGGCCAACCTGAGTTACATAAAGAACTTCAGGCTTTGCAGTTCAGTGAAGGATGAATTGGGATACTGTCTAACCTCAATTGAGGCTGCAATCGAATACATACGACAAGGCAACCTCTCTGACAGATCAACAGTAAGCTGCTCTTAAAGTCTGTCAAATGTGTGTTTCACAGAATCACAGAATG